TTACAGCATTACAACCATTTACTGTAACATGTAATAATCTCAACAAAACCAATAATTTTTTTTCAGACATTGTTTAACTATCTAAATTAATATTTAACTATTTAAACTAACAAAATAATTGCTATTTCAATGATCTTTTCAATAAAGGTCTTTCATCCATAATTATGAAGTTTAGATTACAGGATTAAATGTATTTTTTTATCTGAGGTTCATAAACTAGAAGAACTGGACTCAGTGACTCCTGAGTTTAATGGCTGAAATGACTAATTTGTGTTGCTCTGTTGCACAAATCTGTTCAATCTGTGTAAAAAACATAACAGAAAGTAGAAATGAAACATGCAAATATTAACTTCTAGTTTGTTTTTATAATTCTTTATTTAACAATATCATGAATCCAACATACGTACATATGCATATTCATACATGCGCTTACATAAAACAACGAGAGAGAGAAAAAGAAAAAAGAAAGACAGAAAGAAAGACAGAAGGCCATTTCCATTCTTTTGAAAGGTTTCATGGCCTCACATGAAAGCGAGCTGCACATATCTAATGTGTTCCATTAAAAGAGAGACATACAGATGAATCTGATTTCAGCCCCTCCAGCACAAATATGTGGCATTTCTGTCAGAACATACTGAAAATTGTTTTGAAGAATCTCATTTTTAATTCCTTCTAACCTGGACTGTGATGATCGTAAAACCTTTTTTCACAAATCTCCCACTCCTCATCTTCAATAACAATATTCATTTCTAGTTCCCACTTTTGCTTTATATCTGTAGAATTGTCAGAGAAATGCATCTGCAAATGTTTATATAGATATAATCTTCCTCTTATTATTGTCCTCTACACATTTTATCAGATAGCTTGTAGTTTAAACTATTTCTAGTCATTCAAGTATTTTATTTTCTCCAGTAAATATACAGATAGTGGTTTTATCTCTGGTTTCTGCTCATGAAGGATCATCAGATCAGATTACAGTTCTTTAGTTTAGAGCATGTTGTTAGCAACGGTCCTCATAAAAATAAAATAATTTAACTCAGAAATAACTAATAAGGAACCCAGCATTCCCAGTGTAGATGGAACCGTCTCTGCTGGTCAGGATGGGTTTTCTCTGGTCATGCAGTCAGACTGGACAGATTTATGCCTCCTTCCAGCTGTCAGTTGCTAAGTGATTTGATCTGATCTCTTACTTTGAAGCCGCGTGAAAGCTGCTGCTGCAGCTGGAGCTGGAGCTGGAGCTGGAGCTGGAGCTGCTGCTGCAGCTGGAGCTGCTGCTGCAGCTGGAGCTGGAGCTGGAGCTGGAGCTGCTGCTGCAGCTGGAGCATACATGCTGGGTCAGTGTGTGCTGCTGACCTCCTCCTCTTTCTGCCGATGCCAGTCAGTGAGGAGTTTGGTGGCGTTTCAGGAACTTGATTAAAAGAGCAAAATGTTTTAGTTTTCCTGTCAGTGATGAAGCCAACCAGTTGCCCCAAAGTCTCTTCCATTCACAGTGAATTCTGAGAAATGTGCATATTTAGGAGTGAACATAATCAGAAATTATAAAGATCTATTCAAGCACAACTTTCATATTCCCTCCCTCACTTGTAATGGTTGCAATAACTAAATTGCTATTCCTTTTTCAGACAAGTCCAATTTTTATTCCTACATAATTTCTTTAAACTTTGGAGAAAATAATAATCTGTATATTCTTTTGGAGCAGGAAGATTCCTGAGGCCATGAGTGATTATCTGCACTTGCACTGCTAATGTCTGGAAACTTTGTTTCTGGGTTAAGCCTGCAGAAAATGAAATGGCGCCCATTTATGGAACCAATCTCTTGTAAATCTGGTTGTTTGCTCGCCACCAGACAATCGATTGATTACAGTTAACCCAGATCCATCGGGGCGATCGGGATCTGGGAACGGCTTTGGATCCATTTCAAAACAAACTGCAGCAGGAGAGCTTTGCTGCAGCAGCATGACGAGTGACTCCCGACGACCAGAACTGAGAGAACCAGATTTAATCTGATGAATCTGAAGGTTTTTATTCTAACAAACATTTTCAATCAAAAGTTGAAACTGACAGAGTGAAAAGATTTTCAGTTAATCTGAGACAAACTGGAACCAAACATCATTTTCTTACAGTTGTTTCTGTTCGATTGGCTGAGGAATAATCTACCAGATTAACGCCTGTAATCCCACAATCTGACTCAACTCAGGTTCGTGTTTATTAGAGACAGATGATAAATCTGGAGAAAGAGTTTTCACAGAGAGTTCATAAACATTTATTACCAGAGCACCAATAAAAACTGCTGCTGCTGTTTTTATAAAGAAAAGGACTTTCTTGATTTTTATCCTCATTTATTAAATGAAAGTCATATTTCAGTTTGTGGTCAGATCCGCTCCCACTTCTCCCACTTCTCCCAGTTCTCCCAGATCTGATCATATTTCCTGCTGTTGAAGAAATGATTCATGAAATGTAAGCAGCAGCAAAAAGACCAAAGATTTCGATGCATTTCTGTTTGTTAATAGATGCAGAAGTTTCATGTTTTTATGTTGTTTCTGATGAAACTTTATGATCTGTTGGTTTCATCTGACGACACGAAGCACAAACTAATCAGATCAAGTTGAGTTTTCAGTCATAATGAGTCGATTTTGAGTTCATAAAAATAGAAATATAAACACATAAAGGTAAAATGTGTTCACTTTGTTTTAACTCAATTTAAAAAAAAGAATATTTATCAAAATGAAAATTTTTTCTCTCAGGAGAAGAAAAAAACTTGTTCATGTTTAGATCAGAGAATCTAAAACTTCAATTTAGCAGCAAACAGAAATATTCATCTGATGAAACAAGTCCAAAATAATAAAAAGTTTATTGTTTCCATAAAGAAATGATGAAAACAAAAGATAAGTGCTGAGCTGGTGAGAGAGTAATCTGCCCGGCAACAGGAAGGACAGCAGAGATGCACAGAATAATTTATTAATGATTCTGCTGCTGAGCCAGGTTGGGGCAACGCAGCAATGCAACGCGGCAATGCAACGCGGCAATGCAACGCGGCAATGCAACGCGGCAATGCAACGCGGCAATGCAACGCGGCAACGCTCTGCAGAAACGCAGCAACCGATGGCAGAAGAAGCAGGAGGAGACAGAGGCAGCGTGAACCAGAGATGAAACCGATCAATCAGGTGCAACGGAGACGGCGAGCTCAAATAATCTGTTACATAACTCCAGCTGCTCTCTGCTCCCAGATTACCACAGGGATTATCCACAGCTGCTCGCTGGCTTGTTTCTGCCGCAGGAACCGCAAGCTGGATGCAGGTCCAGTGAGACAGACACCACTCCACCATGTAGGCAACAAACATGGCCGCCGCCGCAGGTTCTTTAGTTTGAGCATGGAGGACAGGAAACATGGCCGCCGCTTGTTGTCCAGATCCAACATGGCCGCTCTCTGTTTCTCCTCCATCATTGGAGAGCTAACATGCTAACCAAAGCTAGCCTCCCAAAGCTTCCAGCAGGATGCAGGTGAAGTTCTTTTGGAGAGTTGTGCAGCAGCCTTGAACTTTAACTAGGCCAGATGTTTGTTAAACGAGGTTCTGTTCAATCCAGATCAAACTCACCAAGCAGAGGAAAAAGTTCAGCAGAGACCAGAAACACTTTTAGTTCGTCAGTGAGATTCATCACAAATTAATGTCTGTGATATTCTTCTGAACATTCAGTTTTATGCAAATATATTTTCAAGATAATTCAGTCAAAATACCAAATATGACAAATATTTCCAAAACTATTCCACAGAAAATACAAAATAAAAATGAACAACAAAAAGTTTATCAAATGAAAATGTTAATATGGAGTTTATTCCAATGCCTGGAACAGCATCATAAAGGTCAAAGTTCACAGGATCCTGACTGCTAACCTCAAATTATTTTACACTAACAATAATTTCTCATGTCTTTGTTTGTTAATGATCATGTTTTATGTTTGTATATGTCAGAAGTTTCCTTTGCGTTGAGTCGACAGGAAGTGGTTCTGGGTGCTTCCTGTTTCTCAGATCCACAAATAACAAAAATATTATTAGATTCGTCATTTTGAAGCTTCTTAATCTTTAAATTTCTGCCTTCAGCTAATAAAAACTGAACTTTTAAGATCAGAATAATAATGTTGCATTGCTGCTTTCAGGACTTTATTAAATCTGGCAGCCGAGGAGAATTTAATACGCCTGGATATGATTATTACCTGTTAAAAACATCAGATTTAGTCAATGCAAAATCAATAAATCAATAAGTTTATGAATGATTTAGTTGAGAGATGCATTAAAAAGTTTAATAATTTGTATGAAGGTGGAAATAAATCTTTGCTTCAACATATTAGCGACAGCTAACAATAAACCAAACATTTGTTTTTGAAAGTGTCATAAAAGCAATATTTAATGTTTTGATCTATTTCAGGTCAGATTTCATTTTCCTGTGAGAAAACAGTTATTGTCCTTCAGCAACATGTTAATCTTCACATAAACTGTTTATTTTGCTGCTGATTAAAACATTTTCCTCCTTTTATCAGAGACAAAGATCTTCTATTGAATGATGCTCTAATAGACTTTATTCTGTATTTTGATCAAATATTTTGTTCTGAACCATTGCTCTGGCTCCTTCACCTCCTAAGATTTATTATTATTATTATTATTATTATTTGGAGGTTTCAGAGCTGAAGTCATTTATTGTTTCAGATTATGTAATCTCTCTCTCTTTGTGTGCTTCTGTTCCAACAAACAAACCTCTAAAACCTTTCCGTGTGATTTCATCTACAGCTGAGAGAACAGCTGGCGCAGCGGCTTCAGCGGCCCCGCCGCTACCCCGCCGCGCCGCTCCGCCGTCCCGCCGCTACACTGCCGCGCCGCTCCGCCGCTACACCGCCGCGCCGTTCCGCCGCTACCCCGCCGCGCCGCTCCGCCGCTACCTTGCCGCTACCCCGCCCCGCCGCGCCGCTCCGCCTCATTGGGTGCGTGAGAGCGCGGGCGGGCGGAGGCGGAGCGTCCCGCAGCTGCTCCACTCTGAGCCGCATCCCGAACCCCGCAGCCGCATCCGGAGCAGCGCAGCGGCGGAACCGCGGAGTCATGAACCAGAGCGCCGGAGCCGCGCAGCAAACCCGGAGCTTCTCCCTGGACGAGAAGGTAAGCTGACCTCTGACCCCGACCTTAAGGCTGATCGCTGCCTCAAGTCCCAGAAAGTTGCTCAAAGTTCGGCTGAAGGCGATGAATGTCCGGTTCGGTTCGGGTTCTGCTGGCTCGGGTGGGCTCAGAGGAGAACATAGAGAACTTCTGCTGATTCAAATATTCAGATTTAATATTTAATATTGACCTGCTGCAGCTCTGACCCGGACCGGCCGGACTGGACGGAACCGAGCTGCTGGAAGTTTGTTACAGTGAAAGAAGATTTCAGAATAAAGTTCTGAGGATTCATGGATTAAAGATAAACATCTGAAAATCACTGGAACGGTTCTGGTTCTGATGGTTCTGGTTCTGGTGGTTCTGGTTATGATGGTTCTGGTTATGATGGTTCTGGTGGTTCTGGTTCTGATGGTTCTGGTGGTTCTGGTTCTGGTGGTTCTGGTTATGATGGTTCTGGTGGTTCTGGTGGTTCTGATGGTTCTGGTGGTTCTGGTTCTGATGGTTCTGGTGGTTCTGATGGTTCTGGTGGTTCTGGTGGTTCTGGTTCTGATGGTTCTGGTGGTTCTGATGGTTCTGGTTCTGGTGGTTCTGATGGTTCTGGTGGTTCTAGTGGTTCTGATGGTTCTGGTTCTGGTGGTTCTTGTTCTGATGGTTCTGGTGGTTCTGGTTCTGGTGGTTCTGGTTCTGATGGTTCTGGTGGTTCTGGTTCTGGTTCTGATGGTTCTGGTGGTTCTAGTGGTTCTGATGGTTCTGGTGGTTCTGATGGTTCTGGTTCTGATGGTTCTGATGGTTCTGGTGGTTCTGGTTCTGGTTCTGATGGTTCTGGTGGTTCTAGTGGTTCTGATGGTTCTGGTGGTTCTAGTGGTTCTGATGGTTCTGGTGGTTCTGATGGTTCTGGTTCTGATGGTTCTGGTTCTGGTGGTTCTGGTTCTGATGGTTCTGGTGGTTCTAGTGGTTCTGATGGTTCTGGTTCTGATGGTTCTGGTTCTGATGGTTCTGACGGAGCTGCTCTCATTAGCTCAGGTTATAACAGGAAATAATATTAGCCACCATCACTATGCAGATGATACTCAGCTCTCCATTATGACATCACCAGGTGACCTTTGACCCCGTCACCAGGTGACCTTCATGTTGGTTTAAAGAGTTTCTCTGGAGAATATTTCATAAAGAATAAAGTTTGTTTCTCAAACCAAACATCCGATAAAACTCCCATCAGCCACCAGGGGGCTCCACATTCGTCACGCAGGCAAAAGAAGTTCAAAGTCCAAACTTGTTGATCTTTATTCTCCTTTTCCTTTGATCTCTTGTTTCTTCTTCTCTTGCTGTGGAAAAACCCAAAAGCCTGCTGGTCCTTCAGAACCGGGCCACATCACTTCCTGTCTGAAAATAAAGAACGATCATAACACAGAAATAAAATCAACAATTATTAACCTGCAAATAAACTCTGAAAAATTACAAAAATTCAAATGAAGAATTAAAGAATAAATATGTCCAACAAAAGTATTAAAACTTTATTTGTAACTGAACAACTACAATAAAATAATGAGATATTAATGAGAAATGTTCTTTAATGAAGCAGTTATTTTACTTGAAATGCTTTAAATGGAGTTAAATTTCAACAAGGATCATTAGCATGCTAGCAGCGTTAGCCGCTAGCCGTCAGGCTGCTGGGCTGAAGTCGTCAATAATCTGCTGATGATCGATGATCATCAGCAGATGATCGATGATCATCAGCTGATGATCAGCAGACGTTCCAGTGGAGGACGAACTCTGCAGCTCGTGTTGCTGCATCGTTGAAGTGATTCGGCTAATTAAGAAGCTCAGATGTTTGTTAAACGAGGCAATATTAAAAAAGACGGAAAAACTGATCTGGTTGACAGAAAACAGTTCAGGTTTTCAAGGACTGTTTCCAGTTTTTAAACGCAGTTCCTGTTCTGGACAAGAAGCAAAATGATCAAGACAGATTCCACTGCAAAACCTGCCCTGCTGACTTTTTTTAATGAATTTTTTATGTGTTCCTTATTGGAGAATCTTTTATTCTTCTCCAATATTAAATTTCATCTACAAACTTTAAATGCAACTTTGATTTTAATTCCTCCGATTTCATTGAAGACGCTTCAGCTGAAGAGACGATGAATAATTCCTGACGAGGATGAAACCAAATGAAACGTTGCATTTTTCAGTAACTTTAGGTGTTTTCATGAAAAAGCATCAGTGATTTAATTCAGTTCATTTCTAATTATCTTCCAGTTTGTTGTTCAGATTTCTATAGAAACTCTTGACCCGCAGCACCACACCTCCTGACCAGCAGGGGGCCACAGTGGAGAGGGCAACCTCTCCTTTAACAGGAACAGCCCTGACCCTGAACCAGGTCCAGAACCGGGTCAGCCCCAGCCAATCGGATTCCAGATCAGACGCAGCAGGAAATAACAAAACAGGAATTAACAGGCGAGGAAGAGGAACCACAGGAAGTTCTGCAAGAACCTGAGACCCGACCCGGATTGGACCCGACCCGGATTGGACCCGACCCGGATTGAACCCGACCCGGATTGAACCCGACCCGGATTGGACCCGACCCGGATTGAACCCGACCCGGATTGAACCCGACCCGGATTGGACCCGACCCGGATTGGACCCGTTGGAGTTAATAATAGCAGCGATGAGGCTCTAAATATAGAAACTCTTTATTCCTGAATCAAACGCCGCAAATGGCTTCATTTCACAAACCTGAATTATTTTGAGGTTTTTTAGGTGTCAGCGCAGCCCGGTTCTGATCAGCAGAACCGGTCTTGTGCGAAATTCGGTTCCCCTGTGAAAATCTGTTCCCCCTGCGTCGGGAGCGCGCATTACAGCCAGAGAGGCGAAAGAGGATCTGATCATTTTCACGTCGCTTCTGATCGATTTCTCGGTAAAACAACTAATACAACCATGTCAATGTTGTAACACTCAGTTTAATTTGCAGCTGTTGTTTAAAAATTGTAAAATAAATAAATAAACGAGTCTTCTGACGCTGTTTTGTGTTATTGTAAACACCAAGAGAATCGCTCTTTTCTCACGTAAGTTTGGCAGAAATAAACAGTCACCAAACACAGTTTTCCCAACACGTGGTGTGTATGTAAAGGTTTTTGTGAATTTGGAAACAGTTGTTCTTTATTCCCCAAGGTTATGGAGTAAGGAGAGGAAATAATGGATGATTCAGCAGCCTGAAATATTCTGTTCCCCCTCCATAAAATGGGAACAAATTATTTTACCTGCAAATGCTTAACTGTGCTTATTCCTCTCATCATCAACAATAAATACTGTGATTTTGGTATCATTTGCTCTTATTTTGCCATCTTCCTCTTATTTTAATAGAAGGAATAATTTTAGTATCATTTTGTTTTAATAATATACTGAAATTATTCATTTTATTAAAATAAGATGAAAGCATATCAGTACAAAGACATAAAGTCTTTGTGAGACATATATGTATGATAATAAAACTAAAATGCATGTGCATTGATGTATATTTATAAGAATTGGAAATCAAATTTACATTTCTCAGCTTGAGTTTTTTTCTGGACTGGACAGGAGTCAATGGCAGAGCAGAGGAAGACGGTGATGGAGCAGGAGGTGGAGGTGCTGCAGCAGGTGGAGGTGCTGCAGCAGGTGGAGGTGCTGCAGCAGGTGGAGGTGCTGCAGCAGGTGGAGGTGCTGCAGCAGGTGGAGGTGCTGCAGCAGGTGGAGGTGCTGCAGCAGGTGGAGATGGTGATGGAGCAAATAGTGATGAAATGTTTTCAAACTGGCTGTTTGCCAACAGCCAGTTTGCTGTTGATGATTATTGTTGATAAATACATTTGTTTCCATGTTTTTGAGGGGGAATGAATAATTTCAGTCAGGTAAAACAACTAAAATATTTGGTTCCCCCTCATAAATCTGGCAAAATAAGAGCAAATGATACCAAAATCACAGTATTTATTGTTGATGATGAGAGGAATAGGCAAAGTTAAGCATTTGCAGGTAAAATAATTTGTTCCCATTTTATGGAGGGGGAACAGAATATTTCAGGCTGCTGAATCATCCATTATTTCCTCTCCTTACTCCATAACCTTGGGGAATAAAGAACAACTGTTTCCAAATTCACAAAAACCTTTACATACACACCACGTGTTGGGAAAAACTGTGTTTGGTGACTGACTTTTATTTCTGCCAGACTTACGTGAGAAAGAGCGATTCTCTTGGTGTTTACAATAACACAAAACAGCGTCAGAAGACCTCGTTTATTTATTTATTTTACAATTTTTTTAAACAACAGCTGCAAATTAAACTGAGTGTTACAACATTGACATGGTTGTATTAGTTGTTTTACCGAGAAATCGATCAGAAGCGACGTGAAAATGATCAGATCCTCTTTCGCCTCTCTGGCTGTAATGCGCGCTCCCGACGCAGGTGTAACCGGGTTCTGCTTCACACCGCTGTACCAGGCCGACCCAAGTAACCCCTCGACTCTGCGTTGTGTAGATGTTTTAATGAAGACCAGGAGTTCTGGGTGAACAGGCAGTTTATTTCCTGAATGAGAACAGATCAGGTTGGAATCAATGCAATGGTTCAGCTTCCCTCAGCACACTACAACAGAGCGTCATGTTGACTTTAACTTAGCACAGAAAGTATTTTACAAATATTAACAAAACTAAAAGTGCAAAATTGGTGCCAGGCACACAAATCATAAATAGTAGTTGCACACTATTGATGTAAGTTATTAAGAATGATACTTTATGTGTTTCTAACACTTTTCCGTGCTGAGGAATGAAACTCACCTCTGGTGCAGCTTCCATAGACTGGCACTGATTACAGCAGCATATAACCAGCCACACAGAGAGGAGGCGCTATTTCCCCTTGCACTGATAATATATAAAGCAAGTGGGATTCTACAACATAAACTCTGTTACACAGGGAACAGATTTTCACAGGGAAACCGAATTTCGCACAAGACCTCGACTCTGAGCCCGGCTAGGAGGATTCAGAACCTGCAACGACTGAACATCAATTAGAACCAATCAAAGAAAATTATGAGAAAAAAACCTGGCAATTAATTTGATCCAGTATATTGATTATTAATCAATACTGCAAAAAACCAGAACCACCAGAACCATGAGAACCATCAGAACCATGAGAACCACCAGAACCATGAGAACCATCAGAACCATGAGAACCATCAGAACCATGAGAACCACCAGTAAAACTTTTACGTTTCCATGAAGTGGGTTTTTGGTTCTGCTGATTAATTTTCAAGAGATGAAGCAGATCGGACAGAAACTCTTTTTCTTGAAATATTTCAGATTCAGATCCATAAGTTGATGAGAATCAGCTGAAAATGAAGGCTTTTATTGTGAAAATAATTAAATGATCATAACTCTGATCTCAGCGAAGTCATTTTTCTGGGAGATGCTAACTGAGCTACATCATCTGCTACGCTAACGCTCAGATCTCCTCCTCATCACTGCAGCTCTGGGTTCAGCGAGGAAGGCTGCTCCCTTCTGACCCGTCTGACCTCTGCAGCGTGACCCCAGGGAGCTGGAGGTCACCAGACGGAGGAACGTCTCCTCTGCCCCATCAGATGCCTGATGGTTTCATTCTCCAGGTTTCCTCAGTCGGTGACGATCCTGAACAGAATGAAGTGAAACGTGTTTCTTTCAGTGGGAACGTGTGAGCAGAGCGCCCCCTGGAGGCCGGAGGCGGCACCACAGGAGGCCTCAGACCGGAGAGCAGATGAAGGATCAGGAAGTAGAGTCCTGCTGACGGAGGAAGAGGAGAACGATGAAGATGACGTTTCCTTGAATCGTAGCTGAGCGTTAGCTTAGCGCCGCCGGCCTCAGAGGATCCGGCAGGAATAATTATGTCCACATTAACTGGAATCAATCACTTGTTCCTCCAGGCTGTTTTCATGGAAACTGATTACTTTAATTGATTTGGTGAATTGATCGACAGGCGCCCGCCTGGAAACGAATCCCTGACTGTTTTTGTCAGAGCGGATCAGAAAATGATTCAATTATGGGATGTTTAGTGACATGAGTGTCTTTGTAACAACCAGGCGGCGAGTTAACCAAATACCCTCCATCTGGTAAAAACCAGGACAGATTACAGTTCACAACCAACCACTAGATGGAGACTGTGAAGTGCACAATTCAGAGACTGAGGTCCAGACAAAGGTCAGGGAGCAAAAACAATCTTTAATACGTCTGCAGACGGAGAGCAAGAAATCCACTGCATCAGGCACAAATTAGGATCCGCTCTGAGGAACCCAGAGCTGCATGGTTACTTTATTCATCTCTCTTTACTACCGAGGCGGAGACTCACTCTTCTAAGACCAAACAAAAGAAACAAAGGAAAACATGCAGAACCTTGTATGCTCATCACTGTAATGTGAAAACTAAACTCTGTCTCCATGCAGCGAAGGCCACGAGAAAAACAGCCGGTTCCCAAATAACTGTCTGGGAAACTTACTGCAGTAAACAAGATGGAGGCGTCAGAGTTTAGTGATTTCTCTTTAGTCTTTGGCTGAAGACCAGGAGCCATTTCTGCTGCTAGCGCTAGGCTAGCATGTTAGCTTTGGTTGGATTTACCCAGAATGCCCTGCACTGTAGTCCACTTCCTGCTTTTGGAGCGCTCTCTGGTCCTCATGGTGTTCACATTCAAACTGAACCCAGACCTGGAGGACCAGAGGTCAGAGGTCAACTAGCATTCATATCTGACCAACTGAACCGGACTTTGACTAGGCAGACTGGAGTCGGGTTGAAGCAGGCTGAACAGAACTGAAGGGAATGATGAACCTGGATTCATTTGATGAGTTATGAATTTCAATTTAATATGCAAGATATTCTGCAAAATGAATGAATGATGAACGGATGAAGTGATGAATCATATTTAAATTCAGAAATATTTTATTGATCCCAACTGATATCTGCTGCTGTTTGTCCTGACCTTTCGGCCATTTCTGTCCTGAAATGAAATTTCTCTCCTTCAATCATCTATTTGATTTCCAAATAGTTTTTTTCTCAATTAATGCTGCAGATTAATCAAATGATATCCGTCCTGGAAACTGATGTAACTTTCAGTTTCATGAAAAGAGAAAAGCAGCTTTTAATTAAAAAGCTGGTTGAACAGGCGGCGGGCCGATAGTATCGCTGCATCTACTGACCTCAATCTGCGCCGCTCACCTCTGCAAATGAGTCTGGAGGCAGAAACTCACTTTGGCAGGAACGTCAGATTAATTCATTAAACCTGGACCCAACATTTCCTCCCACTGATCCTCTGAACTGTTCACAGATGGAGCTGCTAACAGAAGCTGCTAACCGCCTGGAGCTGCAGTTTTTAACGTTTCTCTGTTAGTTTGTCCTCCGAAAATCCTCAGCAGGATAACCAGGCTAAGCCCCGCCTCCTCCTGAAGAGGCGGGGCTTAGTGTCACTCAGGGTTTGTTACAGTTTAAGGTTATCAAAGGAAAAATCAGCAGAAAAACCTTGAACTGGGCAGGATGGAGGCATTTTACATAAATCCATGTATGAAAAGTCATTTTGATTTGTGACTCAATAAACCTGCTTTAGTAAAAGAACCGCCGTGGATCTGGTTTCCCTGCAGCTGCAGAACCACAGAAAGTTCCCGATTCATTCATTTTGTTTGAATTAATTTCTAATATACATATTTGCAGCAATAATTGAACTTTTAATCATTTATCCACAAAAGAATTTTAGCACTCAAAGTCTGACCTCAACTGACAAACATGCTAATGCTAATGCTAATTGAGAACATGCAGAAAGATCCTGGGGCGAGAATCGAACCCATGACCTTGCTGCAAGGCAACAGTGCTACCCACTGCACGTAATGCTAATGTCTTTATGCTAATCTTAGCGTCAACATCAATAAAAATGTCTTTGAAATTTGTCTGCTGCTTCTGTAAAAGTGAAATTCAGAGTTTGTACAAAACACTGACATCACAATGATCTAGACAGAGCTAGCCAAACTGCTAATGCTAATGTGTGGAGGTTAGCATTTTGCAGAGCTAACCTCATAAAAAAGTGAATCATAAAACAAAATGTGATTATTTAGCACAGTGTGATTAATGTTCACAGGTTTTTAAAATACATCTCCATCTTCAGCCAGCACGCTAACAGTGCTATGCTAATGCTAACCATATCCTAGCTAAACTAGACAATAAAAGGAGTTTAATTCCTTGCTCAGGGTCTAATTGGTGAACACTGATAAATAAATGAAATACATAGCCCTTAATTGTGCGGTAAAACTAACAATAATATAGAAGGTCGCACAGGGTTAACTGGGCAGGTTTGATGCTGTTCCAATAACTTCCAGTGGCTCCTTTGTTGTTGTTACCATCAATTTATTCCATATATCAGCTTAAATACTTCAGACTTTAAGAACTGACACATGCTGACCAGGCTAAATCATAATGATGCTAACAATAAATCATATTTAACACGATCAACAGAAATTATGACCCTCCACCCGGCGCACCCGTTTCCTTCTACATAGTGAACCAGCGCGTCATACGGCTCTCATTCATACTAAGTGACAGTCACGCCCACTTAGGACACACCCACCACTAACTGTCACAGCTGTGCCACAGGTAATGCTCATTTAGATTATTTGGCTCTTACACCCGATTATCAGCATTCCAGCACAATAAGATGATCAATTATGAAATGACTCACTGTGATTTAAACACACGCAGCATTTCATATTCATAAACATGTTTTCCAGCTGAGCTTCCAGCTCCTTTAAGTCACGTCTTAAGACTCTATTAGCATAAAACCAGGATGAACAAACCAATGTTTTCATTGTGGCTTTATTTACTGATTTTATGAAAATCCTTCTGTTTATGAAGTCATGAAGATCGAAATGCCCAGAGATGAAATATATAATCAGCAGATTTTCTCTGCCGCGGATCCAAGATTTTATCTTCAGGGTCTCAGGCGGCTGCACTGGACCAACGGCGCCGAACGTCACAGGTCCAGTCAGACCGACCCGCTCTGGTTCTGGTTCTGGTTCTGACAGAAGGAAAGGAGAAGCTTTGCTTTCACCAGCAGACATTTAATGAGACCTGAAGTTTCAAAGCCTCTGGAGGAACTGAAGGGAGTTCATCTCTGGTAAACATAAATAGATCTTTTTATTTATAAATAGATGTATTTATAAAAAAAGATCTATTATAAAAAAGATCTTATAAATAGATCTTTTTATAAATAGATCTTTTTATTTATAAATAGATCTATAAATAGATCTATTTATCCTCCCAGCTGCTAAACAAACGTAGTTTTGCATTTTCTGATCGAAATGATGAAGCATAAATATAGAAACTATTTTCAGCCTGTTTCTCTGTAAAGTCAGAATAATATACAAAAACTGAACCATAAGTTTGAACTGCCTTGTTGCTGAAAATGTACTAAATAAATAAAACTACCTTAAAATGAACTGCTGTCTATTTTCTTTTTAAAAGTGACTAAAGAAGCAACTTCCTGCTGGTATGTTTGGCAGTGATGTTTCCCCTCACGTTTGCTGTAGTTCCTGAAGTTCTTCCTTCCTGTTCAGCAGGACATCGGGCCGATCGGACCCGACCGGAACTGGAAGGGTATCGGCATCTCGCTGCTGGTCATCATGGCCGTCCTCTCCTGCATCGGCGTCTCCATCGTCCTGCTGTCTCCAGGTGAGTCGATGGCAGCGGCCGCTTCTCTCCTCCGCTGAGCTCATTCCTCCTTCCCGCCCTCAGATGGGTCCGGTAAGCCGCTGATCGCGCCGCTGGCTCTGGATGACCTTTTCCAGAGGAGCTTCCAGATCCACGATCCGCAGGCAAAATGGATCAGCGGTAAGTTTTAATCAATCAGTCAATCGATCAGTCAGTGAAGAGGAGCAGCAGGTCAGACAACAGCAAAGATGTTTTCCAAAATGATCACTAAGTTCAGAACTTTAAATTTTAATGCAATGAATCACTTTACTCTTTTATTTTTACATCCTGAGCTCCAGAACCGGAACCTTTGTACTGTGTTTCCAGTACAGCCATAAATGTGACGCACAGCTACTTCCCCTAACAGCAGCGACTTCGCTCGGTTAATTTCTGCTTCTGAATGATCTGATTGGATGCTGGGCAACACTACTGCCAACTTGTGCTACAAAGTGTTAGCCTATCAGCAAAGCCATGCTAACCTTAATTAGCATCTCCATACAAACATGCAAGAGCCAAATATAATGTCAGCATCCAGAATAGCAGCATATGCTAATGTTAGCTTTTCAATTTTTATCAGTGAAAGAGATTTTATGAAGCCGATTTGATAAACCGGCGCTAAGGGAGCCATTTTGTAAACACCAAGTTCACCACGGTGATGGGACAGCAGGGGAAGCTGATTGGCTGATTCTTCTGCCATTGTAGAATCAAAATGAAATTATAGATACAATTAAAGATGATTGAAACATTTTAGACTTTTTCTTTTCAGTTTTATGGGGGAGCAGAAAAGGCCCTGCCAGCTACGGTGGCCCTGAGGTGCAAAACACAACAACATTAACAAAAACACAACATTAACAAAAACACAACATTAACAAAAACACAACATTAACAAAAACACAACAACATTAACAAAAACACAACAACATTAACAAAAACACAACAACATTAACAAAAACACAACAACATTAACAAAAACACAACAACATTAACAAAAACACAACATTAACAAAAACACAACATTAACAAAAACACAACATTAACAAAAACACAACAACATTAACAAAAACACAACAACATTAACAAAAACACAACATTAACAAAAACACAACATTAACAAAAACACAACATTAACAAAAACACAACATTAACAAAAACACAACATTAACAAAAACAACATTAACAAAAACACAACATAACAAAAACACAACATTAACAAAAACACAACATTAACAAAAACACAACATTAACAAAAACACAACATTAACAAAAACACAACATTAACAAAAACACAACAACAAAAAAAACCTTGGTATTTTATTCTATGTTGCATGCCTTTGTGTTTTGTGTTTATGATGTAAAGCACTTTGAAATGCCTTGTAGCTGAAATGTGCTATACAAATAAAATTTGATTGATTGATTGATTAACAAAAACACAACAACATTAATGTTTTTGTTAATGTTGTTGTGCTTTGCACCTCAGGGCCACCGTAGCCAGCCCACCGAGTAGCAGCTAATGCTAATGCTAATGTTAGCGTTCACAGTTCACATTTCTGACGGTTTGAAGCTGAAATCTCAAATATAAACAGTCTGGATGTTTTAAAAATCTTTACTGAGACAGAATAAAGACCAATTACCAATAATACATTTCAGCACTCGGTGCAGCGCTGAGGTTCAGCTCCGACATGACGGGAAATAATATTTCATTCATGTTTTAGTGTTTCTGTCGCTGCAGCGCAGGAAGTCGTCTACCGCGGCTGGAACGGAGACGTTTTCAAACTCGACGTCTACAGCGACGAGACGGAGCTGCTGCTGAAAAACTCAACGTTTGTGAGTCAAACTGACAGACAGAAAAAATAACAACAGTCAGCTCTTATTGTGGAGGGCTGGTGGCTCTAACCTGCGGTTAAACTTCCTGTCTTCCACCAATCAGCTCTTTCCAAGAAACAATGAATTTGCTGTTTTATTTCTGGCTGATATTTTTATGCACAGCAGAAAAGATTTTATTTGTTTTTCTGCACAGGCAATGTTTAAGGCTACTAAGTTTGCAGTTTCTCCAGACAAGAAGTTTGTTCTGCTGGGATACGACGTCCAGCCGGTGAGTCTCAGGTCGGTTCATGTTGACAAGTTATGACAACATGATCAGTTATTCCTGATCAGATATTAAAACTTTAAATCAGATAGTAAAACGTTTCCTGTTTCAGTCACTAAACAGATTAATCAGGGAATTAATCTGATGCTATTGATCACTAAGCCTTTGATCTCAGGAAGCCCAGATGATGATGTCACGGCTTTTCATGTCCTTGATTGGTTCCTTCACATCATGTGACTGAACCCTGCTTCTGGCTTCTTAGAATCAGGAAAAAAATATTTAGTGTTTTAATTTGCAGGAACTCAACAGTGTCCCTTTGAAAGGTCAAAGGTCAGGTAATAAGTGAATCTGAGGTCACGATTGGATGTTTGGATGGAGCCGTTTGGGAACAACAACCAATAATAATCCTCCACCGTCAGAACGCAGCTGATTAATGTTTCATTTTAACGTTTAACCTCCGGAGGGAGTTAAAGATGGCCGCCGGGTTCTGGTCCACTAGAACCGATCCGATGTTCTGTAAGCCTCAGAACGCAGCTGGTTGACGTTCCCCTGCTAGAAACTGAACGGACACAATGGAGGGAGGAAGCAGATTGAAGTTTCCTTCAGGAGAAATGAGAGGAAACTTTCTGCTGTTATACTTCAGAAATAAAACGGTTTGTTACTAAAAACACAATAATCTAATAAAACAACAGCTGCTGCTTTATTCTGGTTATTGGAATATTTCTAGTTTGGGTTCATCTGCATTAGCGGGCCTCCTCTGGGCTTTTTGGCAAATTATTATTATTGGTGTATTTAGTTTAAATTTTATTCAATTAATGACACATAATTGGTTATTTATTTAGCCACGGCACTCTTTGCCCTCCATACACCTGATTATTATTAACGTATAAAATGATCAACAGGTCAGGCTTTGGGTTACTGTCTACCAATGTTGCCAAATGAAAAATTCAGATTCAGGCCAAACATTTTCCTCGAATGTCTTGGCAGCATTTGTGATTAGAAAGTTATCTTTGACAATGACTTACCAGATTTAAAGTGAAACCCAGACAGACACGGTTCTGTCTTCACATGCAGGTCCGTCCACCGAGGCTCGGCAAGACTTCACTGTTAATGTTTCCTGCCTGCCCAGATCAATTCTGGTATTGATTCATTGATCCCAGCTGAATAAACAAGAACAACACTGCATAAATGAACTTCGACACAATTATCATCTGAACAAGGTTAATAACCTGGTTATTAACAATAACCTTGTTATTAACAATAACCTTGTTAATAGGTTATTTCACTTCCAGTGTCTCAGGACGGATGCAGATATTGGATCAGTCAGACAATCTCTGCTGCTAATCCTAACCTGACAGTAGAGGGCGCTGGTCCTGCTCTGTGGTTCCTTCACTAGGACACATGATCTACAGCAGTGGAGCCCAGTGGGCCCCTGAGGGCCCATCCTGGTTTAAAGCATGCAGGATGCCGGGCCTTCTGGACCCACTTTGGGAACCGCTGGTCTCCAGAGGAACAGAAAACATCTGAGGACTTCAAAACACAACTTTTATAAACATCTTCAGCTACGCCATAAAAGGAAATGATTATGCAAAAACAATTCTTGATTGTCAAACGTGGGAGATTTGTGTCCAGATTCTGCTGGGTTACAGCCGGAAAGAAACAGGCTGGAGAATTTAACCTGGAACATCAGACCCTGCAGGGGAAGACATTTTGACTCCAGGACCTCAGAATGTAACCGATATGAAGAAATGAAATATAATCATATTTTACACAATGTATGCATGTCTCCACATATATAACAAGTTCACAGAAGGAAACTCTGCTAGTTAACTGTTCTGCAACGCTAACTTATCATTAGCTAACAGTTAGCATTAGCTAATGGTTAGTAATAGCTAAGACTCTAACTGTTAGCATTAGCTCCACACTGCAGTTCCTGCTGATGTTGTTCAGAGTATGGATGATGAAACGTTTCATTCGTGACGACCTTTGATCAACTGGAAAAAGTATTTCTTATAAACTTCATTAATTATTGAGATATTGCCTGAATAGGAAACTTTTGCTCTTAAAACAGTGGAATGAGTTCTTGAATGTGGTCCTGTTAAAGTGTTGCTTGCAGCAGTTTTTCTTCTGAAAGCCCTTTGAAATGTTTGTGTGTTGGTCGAGAACAAAAAGGAAATTCTTTCAGATTTCTGAATTGGCTGTAAAGTTCAGGAGGTTCTGGTTCTGTTTTCTCCCAGATTGCTCAGCTGTTTCTGACCACTGAGCAGAAAACCCAAAATAATCCTGCAGGCATCAGTTTGGACAGCTCAGCCAGGGGCCTTATGGGTCATTTCTTAAAATAATTTTAACTCGTCATAGTTACATTTGAGACGTGACTATAAATTATGAATCTGTGACATTATTTCAAATATCTTGAAAATGTTTTTGATCTGTCAAAATGTAAGAGAACATTTCTTCAATTATTCTCACTTGTCAGAATGTAGAAGCAGAAATCTTATGGCTTCTGTGTTTAGCAGCTGTTGATAGAGCTGATAGTCTGCAGAGGAAAAACTCAGCTGGTTGCTGCCAAGATGGCTGAAGGTCAGAGCGGCACATCGCTTCACCTGGAAACAGGTTGACGCCGTTTAACACAGGTTGACGTCGCCGATGTTGTGTTTGGATTCCAGGTCTACAAGCATTCCTTCCTGGCGTCCTTCCTGATCTACGACCTGTCCACCAGGTGAGCCGCCGCCCTCATGTTGAGCACTGCAGCCGCTCTGGATGCTTCATGTGGTGTGTTCACTGACCAGGGAAGTGTGGGAGCTCAACCCGCCCGAGGTGTCAGACTCCGTCCTGCAGTTCGCCTCGTGGGGCGTTCAGGGCCAGCAGCTGGTGAGACATTCAGGACCGTCTGACACTTTTTATGTTTTTTTTTAAAAAGTCAAGATGCGATGCTGACATAATAAACAATCGAACCTTTTGATTTTAGCAAATGACTGCAATACATCCACCTTATTCCGAGCCTCCCTGAGGCTTTGCATGATTTATAGGTGCGACTTCCGCTGCTAACCGGAATTGCCATTTGTTTAAATGTTAGCAACTTGCTAACCGGCCTTCCACAGGAGTTTAAGGCTAAAATATGTGGAGACTCCAGCTATCACAGTTTACATGTGGCAATATTGTTTACAGCTAATGCAGGGAGGGATGACGACTTGGAGAAATGACTGCAAATAACCCGCACTAGCATAGCTAGCTACCCACACTAGCAGTTAGCTACCTGCAGTAGCATAGTAAGCTACCCACACTAGCAGTTAGCTACCTGCAGTAGCATAGTAAGCTACCCACACTAGCAGTTAGCTACCTGCAGTAGCATAGTTAGCTACCTCCAGTAGCATAGTTAGCTACCTGACTAGCATAGTTAGCTACCCGCACTAGCATAGTTAGCTACCTGCAGTAGCATAGTAAGCTACCCACACTAGCAGTTAGCTACCTGCAGTAGCATAGTTAGCTACCTCCAGTAGCATAGTTAGCTACCTGACTAGCATAGTAAGCTACCCGCACTAGCATAGTTAGCTACCTACAGTAGCATAGTAAGCTACCCACACTAGCAGTTAGCTACCTGCAGTAGCATAGTTAGCTGCCTGCAGTAGCATAGTCAGCTACCCACACTAGCAGTTAGCTACCCGCATTAGCATAGTTAGCTACCCACACTAGCAGTTAGCTACCTGACTAGCATAGTTAACATGTATCTAAAGCAGCTCTAAACATGGAACTCGCTCCGCTGTCCGAGGGCTGCAAAGTCTATGGTGGTAAAGTCTGTGTTGTGCTGATATTAGCGGTTAGCCATTAGCCGGTTCTGAAGAATGAGCGCTGCAGTTCAGTCACAAAGATGAAGAACATCCTCCTCTTCCTCTTGTCCGTGGGATATTTCAGCCCAAAGTGCTGACTGACAGGAGACTAACAACACTAGCTCTTATTTTTCGGTTTAAATGAAGGCACATTTTATCATGAATTAAGCTACGGCGCCCCCAGTTATCAGGGTACGTTATTACAGATTATTAAAACATAATGACCAGCCTGTTTTTCTTTAAAACTACATCTGAATCTCCTCATTATCTGATGCAATAATCTGTTTGTTCTGATATTAATTCCAATTATAAATGATATAAAATGTGGACAAGAAAACAGGGACATTAATGAATATAAGGACTTTCTTTATACATGATGAATGAAAATATATTTTATCCCATTAACAAATGGAAGCATCTTGGCTGCTTCTGATGAATATTTAGATATTTTTAATGTTATTTTTCTCATTTTTAGGTTGTCTTATTTTATGTGTTTTCAAAAATCTGTATTTTTCATTATTTTCCGTAGCGAGCAGCAGAGCAATCAGAGGAGCGGATAATAAAATTAATTAGCAGAAAGCAGCATAAATCAATGTCTGATCCAGCTGCTGTTGGGTCTCATGCAGCTGTTTGTCTCATATTTGCAGTCTGAGCTTCAGAAACGATTCAGACGAGAGAAAAATGGGATTTCTCCAAAGTCAGTGATTCTGTAATCAGAACATTAAACATTTATAAAAAGTTTAAAATCCTTAAAAACTGTTTAAAAAGTTTCAGCAGAAATGAAAACAGCTTTTACCACTTTAACCTGCCTGCTAGAAGATGATATTGATGCGTCTCATAACCTCTCTGATGACCTTTGACCTCTACCTTTGACCTTTTGACCAGGGTGTCTGCTGCATGAATCCTCCAAGTTTCTGAAACCACAGAAACAGACAAGAGTCAGTCGGTGTCTTCCTGTCTGATCAGAGGATAGATATACGGCTGATAGATTTGTGATCGTCTCTGCTTCTCCAGCTCTACGTTTTTGAGAACAACATCTACTACCAGGCCACCAGCCGGAGTTTCTCCTGGAGGCTGACCTCGTCCGGAGAGGAAGCTGCCATTTTCAACGGCATCGCAGACTGGCTTTACGAGGGTAGGACTCACCGGCAGCTGATTGGCTGGGACTACAGCCGGCTCACCTGATTGGCTGAACCATTAGCAGCAGAAATAGGGAAGCGAGTGGCACCAGAACTGTTTCTGTTAATGCATATTAAGGTTAATGTGTTGCTATTAAAGTTATGAACATTTTCACAGGAGATTCCAGGCATTATTGTAACTCCACAAAAGGTTGAGATACACTGAAATCTGAGCTTCTACTGAGGGCTGAAGCTGACAAAATTATTAGATACTGTAGAAATACAGAAATATTTTTAAATGAGTTCCGTCAGAAAATGCAGCAAAGATCACTTAAAAATCAATTCATAAAAAGTTTGAAAGACTGTTTTTATTGCATTAAATCAAAATTTATACAAAGATGTCTGTCTCAATTTATTTATGTTGACTTTTAATTTTCAATCAGATTGAATGCATTTTTTACCTAAATTTCCATAAAATGTATCTGTTTTTATCTGTTTAATTTGGGTTAAGCTAGGTTTTGCTATGCTAGGCCAGTCTAGGCTGTACTAGCTTATGCTACTCGAGGCCAGGCTATGCTATGCTAACTCTGCCCTGTGTGTCCAGAGGAGGTGCTGGACTCCCCGGTGGCCCACTGGTGGTCCCCTGACGGCTCCAGGCTGGCCTACCTCACCATCAACGACTCGCTGGTCCCCAGCATGATGCTGCCTCGCTTCACTGGCTCGCTCTACCCTCGAGGGATGGAGTACCCTTACCCCAAGGTGGGCTCAGACCCAGCTGATGTGTTAGCTTACATCAGGCTGCAGCAACATTTAACATCCCGGAAACTAGTCCAGGAAGAAGATCTGCAGAAGTTGGGAAAGTTTTGTAAACGTCTGACTTTCTGAGTTGGGAAAGTTTTGTAAACGTCTGACTTTCTGAGGCGTTTCATCAGAGCGGTGTGTTTATTTCAGCCTGTCTGAATGAGGATCAGAGAAAACGGTCAGAGCGGCACTCAGGCAGTTATCAGGTTAATCGTCTGTTCTGCCTTCTACCAATAAAACTGCTTCATTAACATAGCTAGCATCAGCTTTACCTCCAGAAGAGCAGGCGCTAGCAGGCCGAGCGGCTCTCCACTGCCAAACAAAAACATGTATTTACCAGGCAGATTCTAATGTTTTGATAAGGAATCATTTCCTCAAAACCTAGAGCAGAAATAAACTCCCATCTTCCCCAGACGGCTGTGGAAACCCTGCTCCTACCGTTACCATCATCTCATTAAGTCCTCTGCTGCCAATGCTAATGCTGCTCCTGTTTGTGTTTCCTACAGATGGGGCAGATCAATCCCAGCGTCAGCCTCCACGTCGTCTCTTTAGACGGCAGCTCCACCTCCACCCAGATCAGGCCTCCTGACAGCCTGGAGAACAGGTCTGACCTTTAACCCCTGCTCCAGACACACAGGACCACTCTAACTGCTACTGGGCTAGCTGTATTAGTGTTAGCTTTGGAGAGGCTGCTGACTAGCTTTCTGAGGTTAGCTTTGCATAGCATTAACATTGGACTGATGAGTGTGTTAGCATGGATAGGCTAACACCTAGCATATCAATACTGGCCATTTTCTGAGTTGTCTTCGTACTCTACTGTCTCCTAACACAGATAGGCTAGCTTTAGCTCTAGCTAGACTGTTATTAGCCCTGGCCAGGCTAGCATCAGCATTAGATATGCTAACATTACAAAGCTACCTGAGATTTGTACTTTATATTATCTGTAGCGTCGTTCATCAGTGACGTTGACATGAACTCAAGCACAAACATGCTTCATCAGGGAGCTGAAGATGGCTTCTGATTGAGCGATTCTAGCTAATGTTTCACAACCTTTAGCATCTTTCATTACAAACTTCCATAGACATGAATACATAGACGCCTCATGGAGCGGGTCGGCCGTTGCTGCTGTACGTCAGCGTCCACCATATTGAATGTTCCAGTACAATATAAGTAACTGTAAGGTATTTTCAGTTAATACCTGTCACTGACACATTCTCTCACACACACCAATACATTTGGTAATGAAATAAATGACTTGGGGCAGCACAGTGGTGCAGTTGGTCGCACTGTTGCCTTGCAGCAAGAAGGTCCTGGGTTCGATTCCCAGAGTCTGCATGTTCTCCCTGTGCATGCTGGGTTCTCTCCGGGTTCTCCGGCTTCCTCCCACAGTCCAAAAACATGACTGTTAGGCTAATTGGTCTTTACAAAACTCTCCCTTGGTGTGAGTGAGTGTGAGTGATTGTGTGTGTGTGTGTGTGTGTGTGTGTGTGTGTGTGTGTGTGGTTGTTTGTCCTGGTTGTTTCTATGTTGCCTTGTGACAGACTGGTGACCTGTCCAGGTGACCCGCCTCTCACCCGGAACGCAGCTGGAGAGGAACCAGCAACTCCCGACCCCAATAGGTGGATGGATAAATGACTAAAGACAGTTTATAACTTTTGATGTGGTTATTTCATTGTTTTGGGGGATTTCTGAACAAAGAGCACAATGTTTCTATTTGGTAGAAATTATTGATAGTTTTTATATTGATATTGATGAACAGACACTTTTACAGTGTTTTATTTTAGAACATATTTACATTATTCCATAATTTAATGTGCATTTAACATTTCAAAACAAGAAAATAAAAACATATTTTCTTGTATTTTGTACTATATTATTTATAAATGACTGATTTATTGACAATGACTTTGATAAATCAGTCATTGTCAAACAAACTACATATTTTTCTTACAATTTTCTGAAAAAAAATTATTACAGTATGTCAACTCTGCTATTGACGGGAGAGTGAAAATAGTTCTAACAGAGTAAATTATTTTTATTTCGTTCCATAAGTTTCTCATCAGCTCTCAGGAGAAAACTATGAAAATGTTAGCTATGCTAACAATCAGGCTACTTCGGGCCAATTTAGCTTCATAGGAAACATTTCTCGGGTGTTGAGAAGCGAGTTTCTGCTCTTTCATCATTACCTGTGAAAGGTGAAGCCAATGAATCCAGTTTGTATCGTGAAACTGTTGAAAGGAGTCCAGATCGCACAGATCGATCTACTGCCACTCACAGTGACAGAACGCAGGACTCACTGCGTTCCGTTGAGTTAGCTACCTGCATTAGGTAGCTAACGGGAGATAGTTCATGTCAACAGACATAAACTATCTCCCGCCGCTCATCACTTCCTCCCGCCGCTCATCACTTCCTCCCGCTCAGCACTTCCTCCCGCTCATCACTTCCTCCCGCTCATCACTTCCTCCCGCTCAGCACTTCCTCCGCTCAGCACTTCCTCCCGCCGCTCAGCACTTCCTCCCGCTCAGCACTTCCTCCCGCTCATCACTTCCTCCCGCTCATCACTTCCTCCCGCTCAGCACTTCCTCCCGCTCAGCACTTCCTCCGCTCATCACTTCCTCCCGCTCAGCACTTCCTCCCGCCGCTCATCACTTCCTCCCGCTCATCACTTCCTCCCGCTCATCACTTCCTCCCGCCGCTCATCACTTCCTCCCGCCGCTCATCACTTCCTCCCGCTCATCACTTCCTCCCGCTCATCACTTCCTCCCGCTCATCACTTCCTCCCGCTCATCACTTCCTCCCGCTCAGCACTTCCTCCCGCTCATCACTTCCTCCCGCCGCTCATCACTTCCTCCCGCCGCTCAGCACTTCCTCCCGCTCAGCACTTCCTCCCGCTCATCACTTCCTCCCGCTCAGCACTTCCTCCCGCCGCTCATCACTTCCTCCCGCTCAGCACTTCCTCCCGCTCATCACTTCCTCCGCTCATCACTATCTCCCGCCGCTCATCACTTCCTCCCGCTCATCACTTCCTCCCGCTCATCACTTCCTCCCGCTCATCACTTCCTCCCGCTCAGCACTTCCTCCCGCTCATCACTTCCTCCCGCCGCTCATCACTTCCTCCCGCCGCTCATCACTTCCTCCCGCTCAGCACTTCCTCCCGCTCATCACTTCCCGCTCAGCACTTCCTCCCGCCGCTCATCACTTCCTCCCGCTCAGCACTTCCTCCCGCTCATCACTTCCTCCCGCTCATCACTACCTCCCGCCGCTCATCACTTCCTCCCGCTCAGCACTTCCTCCCGCCGCTCATCACTTCCTCCCGCTCAGCACTTCCTCCCGCCGCTCATCACTTTCTCCCGCCGCTCATCACTTCCTCCCGCTCATCACTTCCTCCCGCCGCTCATCACTTCCTCCCGCCGCTCATCACTTCCTCCCGCTCAGCACTTCCTCCCGCTCATCACTTCCTCCCGCCGCTCATCACTTCCTCCCGCTCAGCACTTCCTCCCGCTCATCACTTCCTCCCGCTCAGCACTTCCTCCCGCCGCTCAGCACTGAACAGGCGTCTGCGTGTTCATGTCTATGACAAACGTCCAACATGAACTCTCTTATTCTAGACATTAACAACATAGTTTGTGATTTACATGATGATCAGTGCAGGTCCAGATGTGTCCAGTGTCTCTGTCTACAGACCAGCAGCCTGGGATCCACTCTGCTTCTGTTTGCCTCTCTGTGCAGCGATTTCTACGTCACCATGGTGAAATGGGTGACCCGGCAGAACCTGAGCGTCCGTTGGGTCAATCGAGCTCAAAACATGTCGATTCTTTCTCTGTGTGACGCGTCGTCAGGCGCCTGCATGACAGTAGGAAGCCTAACGCTCACCAGTCACCCAGGAAGGACAAACATGGAGCTCCAGTGACCCGACTTCTTGTCCTTTCCCCAGAAACACGTGATGACATCAGAGGCGTGGCTGGACCGGCAGGTCAGGGTTCTGGGTGGTTCTGCTCCTCTTAGCCGGGTTTTAATGCTGCATGTTGATGAATCAGCAGCTGGATGTGGATCTTTCCTGTTCCTGAACAGATTCTTGCTTCAGAAAGGATCCAGTCTGAACATTATCTGGATCACCAAACTGGTTTCAAAACTGAACCAGGACCAGAACTTTCTGAACACCAGTAAAACCAGGCCTCAATGTTGTTAGCCCTAAAGCGCTAACTATTAACAGTAGTTATTGGTAATTGGGGGGGAAAGGAGAGGAAGTTGAACTGCTGCATAAACAGATTTTCAAAATAAGAGCATGAATATAAACATCCATCTACACAGAATCCCAAAACCTCAACAAAGATGGCCGACTTTATCCAACAGAAACAAACTAAATAAGAGAGACTGACAATTTACTTGGAACCAGAACAGAACCAGAACCAGGCTGACTCTCTCTGACCTCCCAGAACCAGGATCCGCTGTTCTCCAGAGACTGCTCCACGTTCTTCATCACCGCCGCCCAGCGTGATGACGGCGATGGCGTCTTCAGTCACATCGTCATGATCTCCAGCCAGGTAGATCCAGAGCCCCCTGCTGCCCCGGAGGAGCTCTGCAGGGTTAGCATGTGATAGCTCGCCGTGCTATGAGTGCTAACACTGCTCTCTGTTCTCAGTCTGACGGGGAAAAGGTCAAAGTTCAGCAGCTGACCTCTGGAAGCTGGGACGTCTCTGAGGTCCTGTCCTACGACGAGAACTCCAGATCAGTGTGAGGTTCTGATTTCAAATTTAAATGACTTCAGATGAATTGTTCTGATTTATTTACAGCTGCAGCTTTTCTCTTATTAGTAATATCAGAAGTAAATATCCCATGTAATTATTCAACCATATGATTTCTTCTGCTTGGCAGATATTTCCTGAGTTCAGAGGAAGGATCAACTCAGCAGCACCTGTACAGGTTGGTACAGGATCCGGTCCAGGGTTTAACCTGTTCCAGCCCAGAGGTTACACTGATCCGGTCCAGGGTTTAACTTGATCCAGTCCAGGGTTTAACCTGATCCAGTCCAGAAGTTAAACTGATCCGGTCCAGAGTTTAACCTGATCCAGTCCAGAGGTTACACTGATCCGGTCCAGAGTTTAACCTGATCCAGTCCAGAAGTTAAACTGATCCGGCCCAGAGTTTAACCTGTTACAGTCCAGAGGTTACACTGATCCGGTCCAGGGTTTAACCTGTTCCAGTCCAGAGGTTACACTGATCCGGTCCAGAGTTTAACCTGATCCAGTCCAGAAGTTAAACTGATCCGGCCCAGAGTTTAACCTGTTCCAGTCCAGAGGTTACACTGATCCGGTCCAGGGTTTAACTTGATCCAGTCCAGGGTTTAACCTGATCCAGTCCAGAAGTTAAACTGATCCGGTCCAGAGTTTAACCTGATCCAGTCCAGAGGTTACACTCATCCGGTCCAGAGTTTAACCTGTTCCAGCCCAGAGGTTAAACTGATCCGGTCCAGAGTTTATCCTGATCCAGCCCAGAGGTTAAACTGATCCGGTCCAGAGTTTAACCTGTTACAGTCCAGAGGTTACACTCATCCGGTCCAGAGTTTATCCTGATCCAGCCCAGAGGTTAAACTGATCCGGTCCAGAGTTTATCCTGATCCAGCCCTGGTTTTAACCTGATCCAGTCCACAATTGAATTCCAGGATTTCTTCTGCTCTATTGACTTTTATCTATAGGAGCATTAAACTGAGGAGGATAAAACTGTAAACTTACAGTTGTTTCCTGTGATTAGCATCAACTTCAGTGTGTGAACTTGAGAGAGGTGGATGTTGACCTTTGCTCTGCTCCCTCAGGCTCTCTGTGCGGAATGGTTTCCATAAAGAATGTCTGAGCTGCTCTCTGTTCAGACCTGAATGCAACTTCTACCAGGCCGCCATCGCTCCGGACAACCAGCATGTTCTGCTCAGCTGTACAGGTAAAACCTGGCAACCTGCAAACCTGCTTCTGTCCCACTGTAAACCAGCAGGGCTGCTCGTGTATACAGGTTTATTTTTCTTTAAATGTTTTTATTCTTTATTTACGCTAAAGGTTTTCAGTAAGCTGAAATGCTAAATAAAAAGCTAGCTCTGCTGTTAGCGCATTAGCATTATCCATAGAAAATTTGGGGAAAAACGAGGCAGCTTCATAAAAAGCTCTAAATTTCAGCAGTTAAATTGTTCATGAAATGTAGAAAAATTCCTTTTAATTTTTAAACTTGTTTTAATGTGAAAAGTTTAAATAATCCTGGACTGCAGGTCATGATTGCAGAACAGGAAAGCTGTGAACTAATGTGATCGTAACTCAGAGACGTGAAGAATGAATATCAGGAAAAATTAAAGACAATCAACTTTCCTACTGGTGTCCCCTGCAGGTCCAGGGATTCCTCAGACGTCCGTCCACCGGCTGGACGACCTGAGCAGTGAGTTCCCTCAGGTCATTGAGAGGTCACCAGGTGTTTCTCTGGTTCTCTAATTTGGGATTACAGATGTAGATCTGCAAGACTCCAACCTGCCTCACAGGAGAAAAGTTGCAATCAGTCTGACATCATTTCCTCCGCCGCTCATCACTTCCTCCCGCTGCTCATCACTTCCTCCCGCCGTTCATCATTTTCTCCCGCCGTTCATCACTTCCTCCAGCCGCTCATCACTTCCTCCAGCCGCTCATCACTTCCTCCCGCCGTTCATCACTTCCTCCCGCCGCTCATCATTTCCTCCCGCCGCTCATCACTTCCTCCTGCCGTTCTCATAATTTCCTCCCGCCGCTCATCACTTCCTCCCACCGCTCATCACTTCCTCCCGCCGTTCATCATTTCCTCCCGCCGTTCATCATTTCCTCCTGCCGTTCTCATAATTTCCTCCCGCCGCTCATCACTTCCTCCCACCGCTCATCACTTCCTCCAGCCGCTCATCACTTCCTCCAGCCGCTCATCACTTCCTCCCCCCGTTCATCACTTCCTCCCGCCGCTCATCATTTCCTCCCGCCGCTCATCATTTCCTCCTGCCGTTCTCATAATTTCCTCCCGCCGCTCATCACTTCCTCCCACCGCTCATCACTTCCTCCCGCCGTTCATCATTTCCTCCCGCCGTTCATCACTTCCTCCCGCCGTTCATCACTTCCTCCCGCCGTTCATCATTTCCTCCCGCCGTTCATCATTTCCTCCCGCCGTTCATCACTTCCTCCCGCCGCTCATCACTTCCTCCCGCCGCTCATCACTTCCTCCCGCCGTTTCATCACTTCCTCCCACCGCTCATCACTTCCTCCCGCCGTTCATCATTTCCTCCCGCCGCTCATCATTTCCTCCTGTTGTTCTCATCACTTCCTCCCACCGCTCATCACTTCCTCCCGCCGTTCATCATTTCCTCCCGCCGTTCATCACTTCCTCCCGCCGCTCATCATTTCCTCCTGTTGTTCTCATCACTTCCTCCCACCGCTCATCACTTCCTCCCGCCGCTCATCATTTCCTCCCGCCGCTCATCACTTCCTCCCGCCGCTCATCATTTCCTCCTGTTGTTCTCATCACTTCCTCCCGCCGTTCATCATTTCCTCCCGCCGTTCATCACTTCCTCCCACCTCTCATCACTTCCTCCCGCCGTTCTCATCACTTCCTCCCACCGCTCATCACTTCCTCCCGCCGCTCATCATTTCCTCCTGTTGTTCTCATCACTTCCTCCCACCGCTCATCACTTCCTCCCGCCGTTCATCATTTCCTCCCGCCGTTCATCACTTCCTCCCACCTCTCATCACTTCCTCCCGCCGTTCATCATTTCCTCCCGCCGTTCATCACTTCCTCCCGCCGTTCTCATCACTTCCTCCCGCCGCTCATCATTTCCTCCCGCCGTTCATCACTTCCTCCCGCCGCTCATCACTTCCTCCCGCCGCTCATCATTTCCTCCCGCCGTTCATCACTTCCTCCCGCCGTTCATCACTTCCTCCCGCCGTTCATCACTTCCTCCCGCCATTCATCACTTCCTCCCGCCGTTCATCACTTCCTCCCGCCGCTCATCACTTCCTCCCTCCGTTCATCACTTCCTCCCGCCATTCATCACTTCCTCCCGCCGTTCATCACTTCCTCCCGCCGCTCTCATCATTTCCTCCCGCCGTTCATCATTTCCTCCCGCCGTTCATCACTTCCTCCCTCCGTTCATCACTTCCTCCCTCCGCTCTCATGTCTTCTTCCTGCTGCTCTCATCACTTCCTGCCGCCGCTCCCAACTCCATGTCGGAAACATCAGAGCAGCCACTTGTCATGTTGCTGGAAGTTTTTTCCACTGATTGATCTTGACTCTCTGATCCTCGGCAGAATTTACAACTCTGGAAAGAAACGCAGAGCTGAGACGGGTTCTGACTAACAGAACGGTACCGAGGACGGACCGGAGAACCATACAGATAAATAACTCTGGTGAGAACCCAGACCAGCACTCAGCAGAACCATCAGAACCGTCTTTAGGTGTACTTTGTCAGAGGTCGTCTCTCTGCTCCTTTTGCAGGATTGGTTCTGGAGCTGCTGGTTCCGTCGGACCTGGACGAATCGACAGAGCATCCGCTGTTACTCCTGCTGTACATCCGTCACTTCGTTCACACATCTAAATATAAAAACTAGTGAAACTCTTTTGAAAACTTTCAAATATAACTATGAATTTGCCTCCAGCAGTGGTGGGCTCACCTCTGCTAATCCGCTAATAGCAGAGCTAATTTTTAGCTTAGTGCTAATTTAAAACACTTCGCGCACTTAGCTTTCTCTAAAGTAATCTTTCTGGATTATTTCTGAATCTGTAATCTCTGTGTCTGTTTTGTAAACTTTCAGTTGAAATGAAGTTAATTATGTTGCTGTTGAATTTTTCTGTTGAACGTGTTTGTGTGTAGAGACAGCGCCCCTGGTGGCCGGGTGGTGAGCGAGCGTTTTTCTCTGGGCTGGGAGTCGGTTCTGGTCAGCTCTGATGGGGTCGTGGTCGCCCGTGTGGACGGGCGGGGCAGCGCCGGCCGGGGTCAGGACGTCCTGCAGGCCATCTACCAGAACCTGGGGCAGGTGGACGTTCAGGACCAGATCGCGGCGCTGCGGTAGGTTCTGCCGCCTGAACGGGCCGGATCTCTGCTAGCTAATCACAAATAGCACGCTAATGCTAATTAGTTGTTATCCACAGAGGACAAGTCAAAGTTTGATGAAAGCATCTGGAGTTTTTCAGCCTGACGATATAATGACTTGTTTTCTGGTTTTTATTGTAAAAATTGATCTTTAAGATCTTTAAGTCCTTCTTGCCTGAATTTATGATTATTAAGAAAATAAAATTTGAACAAACATGGCTTGTTCCTTTTAATGCAGCTCAAATAAAACATCAATGTTGGTATTTAGGATTCAAACAATCAAATTTGATTCTAACTCTGACCACCAGATGGCAGCCAAGTGCTTCAGAATGATCCTTGGTCTGTGTAGAATATGCATCAACAGTCATTTGTGGTTCTACATAAAACAGCCAAGCTGTTTGGGATTTTTACTCAAGTTTACAACATTAATCTCCAAGAGTTTGATGAAACATAAATTAAAAACTAACATTCAGGAAGTAAAACCATGCTGGATGTTTCACAGACACAATGCAACGTTTCTGTCACACTTGGATAAAACTGTGTGAAAAGATTTTAAATCAATTCATTTTGCATTAATTTGTAGATCATCGGTCTGAAAATGAGTCATTTGTGCAGGAGAGAAAGTTTATGGCGCCCATAAAGATCCCATTTTATAAATGTGAATTGTCAATGTCCCGTTTCCCTGGGGAATAAAGACGGTGTGACACCGAGGAACATTGCTTCCAGTCACCCTTAAAAACTAGAAAGACAAGAGAACAAAGGAGACGGTGTGAATCGGATTGTTTGTCTAACTGATCTCATTCTAACCTGACAGCCGTCTGATGAAGCTTCCCTACATCGACCGCAGCCGAGTGGGAGTTTATGGAAAGGTGACAAACCTGCTGCTGCTTCAGATCCATTTACTCATGTTTTAGGCCACATTCATGTGAATGTGATATTTTTGTGTCTCCAGGCGTATGGAGGCTTCCTGTCGTCTGTCCTCCTCCTGACCTTCAGCTCGGTGATTAAATGCGGTGTCGCTGTGGCTCCAGTTACCAACTGGAAACTCTGTGGTGAGCAAACCATCAGTCCCAGTAACAGAACCAAAATAATCAAAAACAAATAATGAACTGAGCTCTCCTGGTTCTGTTGGACCGACCCAGGATCTGCCGGTTCTGAGCGATTTTTTGGTTTTCCTGTGAAGGCGGATCTGAACTACCAGGTAGGAAGAGCAGATGGCACTTCCTGTTTGTCCTCCAGCTGCAGGTTAAAGGGAACTGGTGCTTCCTGCAGGCTAACATGCTAACTGTTTCTCTCTGCCAGCTGTCCAGTCTGATCCGGGACTCCTCAGGGCCCGGTCCCCGGGACTTCCTGATTGTCCACGGCACGGCCGATGGTGAGCAAAGCTCTGTCCTGTTCACCCCTCTGAACTCAGGAACTGACTCATGAACATGAACAGTTCTTTTCAGTGTTCTAATTCCATCAGAACTTTTGCTATGTGGGTTTTGGAGCAGCTGGAGGTTTTTAATGGGTTTACTGGTTTTGTCCCAGTTCAGCGCTGTAGGATTAGAGCCATGGATCGATCCAGGATCTCCTGTTGCTAGGAGACGACAGCAGGAAGCCATAGAAATCTGTTTATTATGGGGTGGAAATAACGTTTTATCAGATGTTCTCTCTTATTATGGATTTTATGCAGAGACAGAAATGATTTTTTTCTCTATTATTCAGTGATTAATGTTTTTATATACCTGATTAAAATATTTTACTTACTACTTATCAATAAGCAGGATATTCAGTTACTAATGGAATCCTCTTGTGCGCCATATTTTCTTTGAGAGTATTTATTAGTTATTTATATTTATTTGGATATGTATTTATTATGTTTTATGTTCTGATTTTACATGTCGGACAGCGGTGGATGGGCCGGGTCCCTTCCACTGTATCATATTTATTTAGAATAAACTCTAAGACAGCCAGTGGGTTGCAGCTGCTCATCATGTCTGTGGTACCGGCGCCAGACCCAGCAGAATCTGAGCCGGGACCCGGCGGTCCACAGGCAGACGGATCCATTCAAGATCCGTGGATCACAATGTTGATACAACGTTACTCTGGCAAGAGCTTGTTTAGTCCGACACACACTTTCAATTAAAGAAAAGCAAATAACAATAAAATTCAAATCCAATCAACATCTAGAGTCTCCACAAAGAAATAAAACAACACAGTACCAAAAAATGAAGAAAATCCAATCCTAAATGAACATAACCAAACTGAATAAAACAGTCCATCTACAACACTCAGAAAACACCAACATTATAGTTCTAACCAAGGTTACAAAGGAGATCCTCCCCACCACAAATAAATACACTTTTATGAGAAATAAAAATACTATGCTACCCAAATACAAACACAACATTCACTAATCAAGCGATTTAAATAAATCCAAAATCCCACTTAGGCTCCAACAACAAAAAGCCACATGTCGACAGATCAATGCTAATATAAAACTGTCCAAGTTACACATGTAGCCGGGCATCTTGCCCGCTGCGCGCTCTCTTCCTCTTGCCCATATAAGGAAGACGTTGTGACAGAGCGCAGCTGGTCCGTAGGGAGACAGGTGATCAGCATTTCCATCTAAAAGCAGGTGGACGGCTGAGGGGATGGGATCCCAGGCTGATGATTGGTGCAGAGGGAGCAATACTTCTAGAGAGGGACGTTGGAGCGGTTACCTTTCCAGAAGGTTGGCCTGCGACTGTTTCAGTTTGAGGTTTCGCTTAGAATGTCTTTTTTTGGGTAGTTATTATTGATCCATAGCATATTTGGTGTTGTCAAAGGAAGAGGAGTTTGTACTGTCCAGCCGTCTGGCTTGTTTTAAACAGATCCCGTGTGTTTTATTTTAGATTGACGAGAGGAAGGGGAGTTTTTCTCTTCTTTATTCGCCAGGAACTTTTGTGTGTGTTTTTGTTGGGGAACTCAGGGCTGCATTTAGCTATGTTTGTGTTTTCCTTATTATTATTATTCCTCCCCCAAGCAGCCTAACTATATTTATTTGGGTTTTAACAGGTTTTTTTTCCAGCTGTAAGGTTTCCAGGGCCAGCTTCGACTCCTCGTTTTAGCGTGGTCATTTTCTACAATAAAATAAACTGACTATTTATGCCCATATGCTTTTCTGAGCTCAATAAACTGTATCTCATTTGCAACAGCGCCTTTGGTAATTTTTACAAATTTATCTGCATGATCTGGTAAGAAGAGGATTTTCGATTCTCCACACATAACAAAGGCCAAGTTACACATCAGAGTACAAAACTAATCTTCATACCTGCAACAAACAGTAAAAAAAAAAAAAAAGACCAATTCTGATTCAAAAATGGGGGGTGTATTGATAGGGTTCGTGAAGTAGGCTGAGAAATAGTAAAAACATGAAATGCATCCAGCTCTATTTTTGAATGATTATTGGTCTTGTCTGTTTTTAAGTGTTTCTGAACCTGCAGCGGCTCACAAAAGGCCAAATTCTTCCTAACGAGAGCTGAAACACATTCATCACACCACTGATAACACTGACTGTGTTCTATGGATCTAACTTTCATCATCTGAACTTTCATAAAATGTGGTCCAAGTTTAAGAACAGGCCCATCATGGCCGACCAACCAACCGCACACAGCGCGAATCATTAGCTTAGCCTCCTGCTAGCTCCGGTTCAGACACCTCCTTTATCCCACAAGGCATTTATCAGAGATTAACATCCATATATCATTTTTCACTCTACTAACCTGTAGGGCAGATTCACGGCGGATTCTGGCCGCTGCTCGTTGTGTCCGCTCTGAGCTGCTTCAACTTCTTCTGCCAGCCAGAGCGTCGCCCACTGGTGCACACGGCCCTGCGCGCCCTCTGCTGGCCAAACTCAGAATACATTTTAAAAGTCAGATTTTAATGACAGCTTGGATAAAAAAATAAAAAGGGGGGTGCTACTATTTTGATTAATTTCACTTTCATAGTGCCACGTATATGCATATTTATTTAGCTTTATTTGTTATTTCTTTATCATTATTTGTTTCATCCAATTATTTTTATA